ACAGGCACCGCCCGACACCTTGGAGGAAAGTTCGCGTCAACCCTAGGTCCCTGGCAAGCCGAAACAGACTTTCTCGCTGGTCATCATGGCATTCAGGTCAGTCTGATCACGCCGTAAGGCCTTAACACACATTTTCATAAGTCACTAGAGTTTTTAACGATATACAAAAAAGCATAATGCGTTTGCACACATGCGGCCGTTAAAACACTGAAAATTATAGGGCGATGCTACGTGCCAGTCAGCTGACTCAAGACGGGCATCTGTGCCATAAATTTATAGCAAATGGTCCTGATGCTACTTGGACATCATACGACTCACTCCACTTTTCCCTACGATTGAGGGAACGTATATACAAAGAACGCGATAAGACAAATTGCGTGTACGAAGTTTTGCGCTGCGAAGTTTGTCCGTGCGAAGGGTTGCGCTTAGGAGGATTTGTGGTCAACGAAGATCTGTCTACGAAAAAATATTATATTTCGTATGCTCCCCTGACCATAAAGAGAAATTTTGCGTAAGGAGTGATGTGATACGAAGTTTTGTTTTGGAACCTTAACTTTAAGCGCATGGTCTAAGCAATGTAGAGACTCTATAGAGTGTTGATGTTTGGTTGGATACATTTTTTTAAAAGAAGCTTAACTACATTAAAATTGACACGTCTGGTGTATGTGTGTGCTTAAGTTTCCACGTTTGCAAGTCCTCTGCGAATTATGAAAACAGGCTGCGACACAGGCTTATTTTGTTTAAGCGTCATATGCTTATCGACGGCCGGAGTAGGTCGCGGCCAGGAATGTGAGGAAAATCGTCTCTTGTCTGTGTGCGTATGGAAGCTATAGGTACTCACGCGTATTTTATGACTAAATATGCACGTGTACTGCATGATAACCGTATGTTATATTGCCTGATATGTGACTATGGATTAACAGCCACCGTTATGGTTGATTATCCCACGGCGTCCGTATCTACGTACACGCGTATGCTCTCCTAACCAGGTAAAAGATACTCAGGTACGTCTATAGAGTGACCCATAATTTCTAACGCACATAGAACACCGAGTGCTGACGATAAAATGGCACGTATGTGCCAACGGCAGGATTTTCTGGTTACATTTACCCCTCTGCTGAACAACTGAGCATGCTGAGTGGTTTGAACGCACGCGTCGCCTGTCATTTGCTGATGGGCATACCCGAATTAATGATCACGGGCGGCTATTTTGTTGGCGGGTTTTGAAACTGCCGCTTTCAGTGGCTTAAAAAGGCTACCTTTCCCTTAAACATAGTGCCGATCAAAGTTCGGTCGTTACGTAGAGCTACACCTAACCACGCTCTTCTGGGAGACAACTCACATCAGGGCACAGGGTGTTTTGCACCACGGGTGGAGTAAGACGCCCCATCTGTAAAGTCCATGCGATAAAAGTCTACGATTTACTCTGTTCCACGGCCCTACGACTAACGCATCTAAACTTTTCAACGCAAAACTGACCCGCATAAGGACAGTACGTGGGGCAGGGAGAAACCGGCCTCATTGTTGGGCGCTGGTCGGTGCTAGGCGCCGGACGCTCTGGCTGGGGCGGCACACCGCCCGGCATCTCGCGGAGACTCCGACCTTCACGACAAATCCGGCACCGCGACCACCACACTGCATGGACCGGCCGGCCGCCCCGCTCAGCCAGCATGCAGATATACGATTGAATACGGATGTGGCGCAGTGCAACAGCGGCAGCCGCGTGCTCTTAATCGGCTTGACGTCAGAAAGTGAGAGTGGCTCTGAAGGAGAGTGCGGCGCTTGCCGGCCTGTCACTGAAAACGGCGGCGGGAAACGGGCCGCCCGCGATCCACCAAAGCCTGTCTCGTCTCTCAATGAAGCGAAGGGGGCTAAATGAAGAGGAAGTTGTGTCGAAACCGCAGGAAATACCACCATCGTGCATCATAAAAACGTTCAACCAAGCGTGCAGACCGCGAAATGGCGCTGAATCAGCGATGCACAATCGAGTGAATCGCGGGAAGGCTGAACGCGAACGAACGCACATCAGGAATAGACGCTGATGCAAATGAAACGGCAGAAACACAAGATGGCATAAACAGTTGAAATGTTTAAGAGAACAACTGACACCTAGCGTGTTGTTATTACGGTAGCATATGCACAGCGCACGGATTCCACGTCGGTGAATTATGAAGACAAAAACTGGTCGTGACGGAAAATAGCGCGAGCTTGTCCGACATTCCACCGTGATTACGGCCGAGCGCCGCGCGACAAATCCAGCCCAGCAATGCCAAATCCCCTCTGGACGTGGCGGGCACTAAGCCCCGCTTCGTCCGCCGCCTGGGCCGATGCCTGCAGAGCCCGCGTGCGGCGGAGCGGTGGACCCTGAGATCGGCCCCGCCCCCGTTACCTTAAGCAGTGGCCAGAGCAGAGCCGCACGTCGGCGTCCGGCGCGTCGCACGTCGCACTCGACATCACGCGCACGCAGCTGGCGACAGCCGGCCACCGGGCGACACCCAGAACCGGACGGCACACCCAGCGGCTGAGCTGGACTGAGCCGCGCCGTGCGCGCCGCGACGCCGTGCCTGCCACCTCGCGGCAGCGCCGGGAAGCGCGGTCGGCGCCCGGCCGCGACACCGGGCCACTGGGTCAGCCGGTCGCGGCGGCCGCGCGGCTGCGGGCGGAGGTGATGAGGAGAGGAGGGCCGTCCCGAGATAAGCAGGCGTCCGGTCCCGCTGCGCCGGCCTGGTCCAGCGCGGAACAATGGCGTCGGGACCTTCGAGGAACTGCGTCGGGACAACGCGGGCTTTGGTTTGGTTCTTTCGTATAAGGCCATTTTGGTGACGTCGGACGTCACTAATGCCCACGGTGGGCTGTTAAGGTAAGCGCATGCCGGACCGTATGACGTCTGTGCTATGTTTGCCGCTAGACTGCACCGCTGCAGTCGTCCCTTGCCCTGGGACAGGCCGCCGCCGCCGCTGCCGCCGCCGCCCGAATCTCGGCTAGATGGCGCGGAAGCGATCGGACGGCGCCGGCTCTCGCAGACGTGCGAACGGGACAGTCCGTACACATCTCCTCAGTCGGGATACACGCGGCGTGTGGAGCGCGCGAGTGTGTTGGTGCGAGGACCCAAAACCGGAGCGAAGCATACCATGACGCGGTTGGTTTTGTGCTAAGCGGTGGCCCTCGCGCTCTGTAGCGCTGTGTTCCAACACTGTAATAGCCATGGCGATGAGCGGGGTGGAGAAGTTGTCAGCCCTGCTGGCACAGCGGGCAGAGCTTTCCCTCCGCCCAGCATGAAGGACCGCTCACAATACGAGCAGAAACGACACGACAACCGACACGACACAAACATAACGACACACTCTAAGGCGCCGCGCTTTCAACAGAGCAACCGGGTTTCAATACCTGCATTATATTTCCTTAATTCTCGAAGATTACAGATGAGACGAGTTTACCAAGCGAGTGAGCTCCAACAGTGCACCGATATATTTTACCTTTGTGTCTCCCGCATGAAGCCAAAGAGCAGCTGTCGGTATTGTTAGGATCTGGAAAAAGCGTTCAACAATATCATAATTGCTGCGCGTCTAAAATCTTTTCTGTGATCTTTCCTGATGGGCTGCCGCTGGACCCGACGAAATTTATGACAGGGTTGAGTAGAATGGGTAGCCGATAAAAACGCAAGTTTGAAAGCCCCGAAAAGACAAAACTCAAATGGGCTTCCCTGCACGAACATTGAGATATTTGCACTGAGTCGGGACACAAGAGGCAACTGGACCTGAAAGCGGAAGTTTACAGTGCAGTGTAAAACAAACATTTGTTATGAAACTGACAGTCTGTTGATAAACAAAAATCACTTCTCCCAAAGTGTGTCCGTCATGTTGCAGTAAACAAACTATCGCGTTTGGCGCTCTTCAATAAGGAAAAGGTAAGAACGTTTCCAGCATACTATTTCGACACTATCCGGAGCGGCCCGCGTTCCGGGCAGTGCCGTTTTGGGCCATAGAAATGTTCCGCATGCAAGGGCGGTAGCCGGTGCCGCACTTCAGTGCTGTTCCGAGGTGCTTGTTGCACCACCCCGCAGAGCCAGGATTGTAAAACAAGCGCGTCTTTTATGAAAGGCTTCGCCACGCCTATTTTACTGTGCAGTCGTCATATGTCTTCTGCTTTCCGAAGCTGTGCCCAGTCAGCTTGGTTGGGATCCAGAGAAGTGACCAAGTCACTCCTCTCGGAGCGGATCTGGACCTGAACAGGCCGCCCACGGGATGGTCTGATCACTTCTTTGGGTGGGAATATGGACCTGACCACGAGGCCGTCCACGAGATGGCCGGGCCGTTTCCTTCGGGAGAGGATCTGGACCAGATCAGGCCGTCCAAGGGATAGTCTGATCACTTCTTTCGGAGAGGATTTGGACCTGATCAGGCCATCCACGGGAATGCCTGGTCACTTCTCTGGGAGAAGATCTGGACCTGATCACGAGGCCGCCCACGGGATTTCCTGATCACTGACCTGATTGGACCTGATCAGGGACCTAATCTGGACCTAATTTGGACCTCTGGACCTAATCAGGCAATGAGAGGGTATCTGCCGACGCCATTCCGACGTACGGCGAGAGATGGGCTCCAGGCGGCAGTGTTGTCCGTGTCACACCTCCGTCTCAGACACAGCCACCGGCGTCAGTGGCGGCTTCACACACAAAAGAGCACCGCACAGCAGGTCGTATTTCCCATAAACAACACGGTTTTGGCACCAGACGCGGTCATGACAGTGCCACGGAGGTCACAGGTCAGCCTTACGACCGCACTCTCACCACGACAGCGCCACGGAGGTAACCGGTCGGCCTTACGACCGCACTCTCGCCATGACAGCGCCACGGAGGTAACCGGTCGGCCTTACGACCGCACTCTCGCCATGACAGCGCCACGGAGGTAACCGGTCGGCCTTACGACCGCACTCTCGCCATGACAGCGCCACGGAGGTAACCGGTCGGCCTTACGACCGCACTCTCGCCATGACGCGCCACGGAGGTAACCGGTCGGCCTTACGACCGCACTCTCGCCATGACAGCGCCACGGAGGTAACCGGTCGGCCTTACGACCGCACTCTCGCCATGACAGCGCCACGGAGGTAACCGGTCGGCCTTACGACCGCACTCTCGCCATGACAGCGCCACGGAGGTAACCGGTCGGCCTTACGACCGCACTCTCGCCATGACAGCGCCACGGAGGTAACCGGTCGGCCTTACGACCGCACTCTCGCCATGACAGCGCCACGGAGGTAACCGGTCGGCCTTACGACCGCACTCTCGCCAACCTCACGTGTACAAAAATACGCCGCTACCACCGCGAGGATTGCATCCGAATGGGCAGTTGGGCACATCAGCAACTCCCAGGTGACATTAGAAAATATATCCAATCTTACAGGACATCGGAACAATATCACTCCGTGATCAGTTTTGCACACCACATCGGAACATTGTCACTCCGTGATCAGTTCCTCGCGGGACATCGAACAATATCACTCCGTGATCAGTTTCACTGACAACGGGCAGCAAGTGACCAGCATGGGTTGCACGAGCGCGTTTTCAAACAAACGCACGCGGACATCAGGGAACTAAAAAGCTCGCGACTGTAACGCCTTCCCATTGCACCTGAGCGTCAGACAGTCCCGCGGGCTCTCCGATTCCAATGCCTCTAAAAGACGGGTTTGGGTTGCACAGCCTACCACTTTCCAGACTACGGATCAGGCGCTACCGGTGTCCGAGCACTCACCGAGCACTCACCGGGCACCTCGCTCAGGAGCAAGTCTGAGCGGAACTCCTAAACGACATCGCGCAACACTCGGTTTTGTGTCGACGTTCTCTGGCACTGGCCGGCTGACGCTACCGGTCGTAGACACGCACCGCATCGTGCACGTCCCGTCCGCGGTCCGTGTAGGCGCCCCGCATCATAGCCGATATTTCTGGATCATCTTCTCGAAAGTATCGGCGATCGCCTCTCTGCGGAGACAGTGTTGTTGGTTGAGCTAACCCTCTCAGACCGTCCGCGATCGGCGAAGGCGATTCGATAAAACGCGCGGTGTATGCCATCGCTGAACACAAGGTCAACACAAAGCTTGCATGGCTCAAACACAGTGTCACTCAATGAATTGCCATCATCAACGGCGATCAAAGCTACCACAGCAACCAAATGAAAAGTGTCCCCGAAGCCCACACTCCTTCCGTTTACGTGCAACTTGCGGTTACAAAAATAACGTGTCGCGTTATGACGCTTTAGAACCCACGACACTGTGATCCTGACTTGTGGTACGTCACCATTGTTTACGTGCAAACGGTGGCGCAAAAAACGTGTCGCGTTATGACGCTTTAGAGCCACTACATTGTGATCGTGACTTGCCGCATGTCAGCTTAAAGATACAGCGTGTCGCGTGGAGAACTGGACCGCAGGGTGTCAGTTTGCCTGACGAATGGTAGCCGCAAGTGGGACGGTTCTAGCAGCCAGACTCCAGTAAGTGCTGACGTTCAGTTCCAGCGACCTCCAGTAAATCGCTGATTCATCTGGTATTGGGACACACATAGCTTGCCTTGCTGAATGGTGAGTAACTAAAAGGCGGTTGGGCGTCACGGCAATATCAATGAAGACGCTTGGCCGGACAAGCATATTTCGAAGGAGGCAGTCCAGTCCTGAAGGTACATTATCATTCCCTGACCAGCCTGCTGTGTCGGTAATCGGAAACCTTTGCAGATCTCTCGAACAAGCAAAGAAATGAAATTACAAAGAAAAGTTTAATCAGCAAAGATGTACAAGTAAAAATATGAGAAGCTCCAAATTTGGCAACCAACCAGAATGGCCAACCCGGGCCACGTTGTGGTATTCGGACACACTGTAGATGAGCTCCTGCACCAGCTGTACGGATGACTGGCGCACGACGCTGTTCGCCATAGGCCTCTCTCCACGGGTAGTCACCAAAAACGGTCGTTGTATCGATGGGACGTTAGAACCACGCTACGATAACGCGTTCGTTTGACGTAAACAAAGCAACATACATCAACAAAAGCTACAGAGGTCCCGTCCTCCGGGGCCAACCGACCTCATGGCTTGGGACCGACTGGAGAGCTCCTGGTCCGACGCCCGTGCGGCAGTCGGGTCTCCACCTGACCTGAAGGTGTCCTGGTTGAAGAGGTAGGCGCCGACGTGACCGGCGTCGATGAAGCGGACCGAGGAGCCGGGCCACAGCTCCGTCAGGCTCATGAGGCCGTCCCGGGGCACGTAGGCGTCATCGCGGGCCTGCGCCGACGGGCGTGTCAGGCTCCGAGCCGCCCGCGCGGGGCCGGCCCGGCCGCACAACATCCCAGACACGCATCCACAGGCACAGAGCGCACAGGTGAGGGCACCGGCGGGGAGCAATCCATCACTGGCCAGCCGCGAGTGGGGTGCACAGTAACGCTCGATGTCAGACCCGCGAGGGGAGTCGGCCTCGTCACCGATGTTCGGAACGCTCATCCCAGCAACGCGCACGTAATCCGGAGCGCCCGGTCGTGACCGAATGGCGTGGACTGCGCTCCGCGAGTGCTTGTGTGCGTGATCGCGTGCGCAGGCGTGCGTGCGCGCGCGCGCGTGTTCCACCGTCGTACGCCCGCCCGTGCCTCTCCCCGCCGACCGGCGTCCTCGCGCGCCACAAGTGCGCCGCTGCTGACCTGCACGATAAGCGCCAGCTCCGGGTCCACGGGCACGGGGAAGTTGGCCAGGTGTGTGCACTCGTCCATGATGCCGCGCATGAAGTGGTACGCCTCGGCCTTGGTGGCCGGACGGGACGGCGACGCCGTGCCCTTCACGGCAGGCCTGACCAGCTGCAGGGCGAGGTCACGTCAAGTCAGGTCAGGTCAGGTCAGGTCAGGTCAGGTGAAGATGTGCCACGTGGACAGGCCACCAAGACCGGCCACGCGGACGAAGGCCAAGAAGGCCACGAAGGCAGGTGAAGTTGTCTGAGATCATGACAACGTCACGGCACGAAAAACGTCAGGGAAAACACACTACGAGCGAGGGCCAGCGCGGCTGGCAGGTTTGAAAGCCACGACCGCTGCCACAATCAGCTACAACGCGAGTATACGTGAAAAGCGCATGCCCATTTGTTGTTTTATCTATTCGTGGTGCGTCCAGCACTACAAATGGTAAAACCTACCGGTGTAACGCCTTTTTGTTGTGTATTGCTGATTTAGGACGCGTTGGCTACAATGGCCAGCTTGCGTCCACCGGTGAAACGCCGATGCGGCCATTGGGTACTAGTCTGCCAGTTGTCCCGAGACCCCACCATCACGTCCCGCCATGACACAACCTCACAAACCAAACTCAATCCCCAGCTCGAACCCGTGGATCCTCTCGCTCAGGGAGGATCCCCGAGCGTTCCGTTCCCGCGGACCACAGAAGCGCGCGCCCGCCTCGCGTCGTCCGCCTCACCTGCGACTTGGAGCGCGCCATGCTGGTGAGCGGGTTGACGCTGGCGAGGCGGGCGAGCGTGCCGCCGAGCGCGGCGGCGGCCGACGACGCGCTGGGCGAGGCGGCGCCCCTCTCGGCGGCCATCTGCTCAGCCACGCGCGCTACCTCGGCCATCTCGTGCGGAAAGCCGCGTGCGAACTGGCGGCCCGCGTGGAAGTGGTCTCCCTCCGCGGCCGGCTGGGGAGCCTCCGGGGTCTGTCGGCGCAGGCCGGGGTGAGCGCGGCACACGCTCGCAGCGTCGGAGAAGAGTGTCAGCGCCTCCGACAGCTCCCAGGGGCATACATTTCGGCAGGTGGGAGGTATCCAGTGTGTGTCATCGGGGCTTTACGACGCGCTCAGTTGCTGAGGCTATATGGCGTCGCCTGCCTCTCACCCTGGCAGGAACGGCGGGCACCGCGGGGAATCGAACCCCGTACCTCTGGTTTCCCAGACGTGTTAACCACTCACTACCGGCACCGCCTGGGGGTATTCAGTCTGACAACAAAAAAAGTTATGGAATAATAAAGAACAGTGACAGGGCTCGGGGAGCGTAATTGGTCAGGATGAAACCCCCAGGTAGTCGGATTACTGGACCACTACTGGACTGGACACCCAGCCAGCAAATCACTGGACAACCCGTCCCGGACCACTGGAACATTGGAATCCAGACGAGAATGTGCCACCAACAACCGATTGTACTCGACGCGTTCCAAAGGGGATCACCTCATCGCACTGGAGACATCCGGCGACAGTGGTGAAATGAATGTATAAAAGATATCACACCTGTCATATAATAACTAAGTTATCAATACTGGCTTACCTCGCCCCGCCTATCAAAGCTGTACCACAACGCTGAATGCCGAGAATCTTGCGTCCACTCACCCCGATAACCTTAACCATCTTCCTGAGCTCGTTTCGGTAGACATTGTCAGAGACGTACTGTTTTTCCAGTAGATCCCAGTTGATTGCGCTACTGAGAACACCCTGAAAAAGAAAGGAAGTGTATAAACACATAATTGGGCCGCCACATAACTAAACTTCACTAGAATTCCCTTAGCAAAATGTATGCAACCATCCACATTTGATCAGTTCGTTCATCCTCGTTTCAAACAATTAGGACAACGTCTGAATTAAGAAACATCACTTAAGCTTTCCAACAACTACAACCCGAGAGAAGCGTTCTAGTTAACTGCTTATGGTGTCCGGACAAAGAGCCAAATAGAAAACAAAGCTGAAGGAAAAAATCGACCTACAACGGCAAAAACTGGGCAGGAACAGCAATCGACTGGGATAAAAGTTATATCGTAAAAAAGTCAAAGGACGAAAAGTCAACGGGGATATAATCTGAGCTGAAAGAAGTTTATTGGAAAAAGCCCGCGGACAAAACGTCGACGGGACAAAATTCAAACTAGGAAGAAAGCCGAAAGATGAGAAGTCAAAGCGACAAAAGCCGACAAGAAGTCCACGAGACACCAGTGAGTGCACATGACACATTCTTGATCCTAAGCACTACTTCAAACGCCGAGTGCTAACAGTGCAATAAATGTTTGCTATATATATATATATATATATATATATATATATATATATATATATCACGTCATTTAGCTGTACACCCCAGCTCAATAAATGTCAGTAACCAAACATAAAAACTCATGGTGCGGCACACAGGGGTGTAGTTTCTTATTCAACTTAGGGGGAGGCTCCAGCCCTCTCCATTTCTAGCTCATTTGAGCTAGAGCGACGAGTGAAACACAAAGGTGAGCAAAAGATCCACGAAATCCTATAACTTTAGGCACGACCATTTTCGACCATGCAGTCGTCTGATGTCGTTCGGTTCAGTCCGATTCCGCTCCATCTGGCTCAATTTGGTCTCGTCCGGTTACATAAGATTCAGTCCCATCTCGTCTGTTTTCGCCCGGCCCCCGTAGTGTTATCTAGCCTCGCCCGCTCGCGTCCGTTCCTATCCAGTCTCATCTCACCCAGCGGCATCTGCTTCCTCAGCGGCCCCGTTCCCACCCAGTCTCATCTCACCCAGCGGCATCTGTCTCCTCAGTGGCCTCTGCTTTATCAACCTAGGAGGCCAAGCGTCGAATGCCAATGACTTTCCTGTTTTATGGCATTTATTAGATCATTTGGACTAACAGTGTGCTTACTTAAACGAAGGTGACGTTCATCCCTGTTGATGTCCACCTCTCGACTTACTCCGTTACTACTTTGATCTCTGGTTAATGCTTTGTCTTTTGACTTTTTCCTATAAGACTTTTATTATTTTCTCCTTTTGACCCGACTTAAGACGATACTGAATTTTATTCTCGCCCACTTGTATCGCGTCCGACTAATTCATTTGACTTTTAGTCCCGGAACCCCTGCTACCAGGTTTCCCCGACGTGGCCACAGAATACACCGTCGCACGAGAGGCCGTCTGCATACTCACACTGGTGAACACAGCTGAGGCGGTGGTCCACGAGAGGCAGGGGATCAGCGGTAGCGGCTCGTGCCAGACCGAAGCAGCCAGCGACGCCATCTGACGGTGGCAACGGGAACCAACCCCGGCACGGGTAAGTAATGTGCCGTTGCAGTGGCGACAGGGCCGGGCAGGGCGGGTTTGCAGCCACATGAGAAGAGCGCCAGACGAGAGAAAGCGCGCTCATCGCACCGAACCGCTTGCGCGCCGTTGACTGAGACACGTAACACAACAAGCACATATGCCACAAAAGTCAAAGCTTCCAATTTCATGCGCAAAAAGATTGAAACTGATCAACATGCCAAGGCACATATATGCCGCCGAACAAAGACGCTCGGCACATGACTTCGCCGGCAGGTCCTAACCAGCGGTACATTTCCACATCATTGTCGGGGCGCGATGTTCCAAGCGTGCTCACGGGACCGGCGCTGGCGGAGGTGCACTCACGTGGCCTCCCATGGAGATGCCGGTGATGCCGAGCGGGCCCAGCCCGTGCCGCCTGGCCCAATGGAACAGCGCGATCGACTCGAGGATCAGACAGCCACCCATCACGAACAGGTCCGAGACGCAGCGGAGACACGAGCGCCTGCCTCGGCGGAGCGGGGTTACGTTGGCGTGTGGTATGACCGTCACCACGCGGCGTCACGGGGCGTCACGGGGCGTCACGGGGCGTCACCGGGCGGCGTCGTCGTCATCGTTGACCACATGTAGTGACTGTGATCGCCCGACGCCACTGTTGTCACAGTTCGCATCCATCAGGTCACGGGTGAGGTTCACATATGTGAGGACGGAACACTGATCCAGAGACAGGACAACAATCAACCTTCAATGGCAAATATCGGCCTTTCTGTCTCCTAAAAGACAAGTTAATTATTTGCGGACTCGGGTCTTTACAGCGTTGCATCAATAAGTAAATTTGCGTTGGGGTGATGGCTCGCGATACTGAACGAAGTAATTTGCAGCTAAAAGAGCAAGAACATAATTAAGCCAGGCTTACACTTGATCTGGTGGCTTTCGTAGGCCGTAAAATGGATTTTCCAGTATGATGGATCCGATGTTGTTCTCCTTTAACAGCGGTCGCGCCAACAGACTTCTCCTCTTCCAGAAGAACTGGAATTTGTAACATAGTAAAAATGAATGGTGCCGCTGACAGACACAGGCTGCTTTACCAACCCCGCAAGGGAAGTATGGGCACCATTCATCACTCAGTAAGTGCAAACTTCATATCAGTGATAAGGCAATCCGTAGGAATAACACGAGCACACCTACGATAAATTTCAGCAACAGAGACCACATCCGATCTGACTACAACGCACTTGCACATCAGTCCACATCGCTTCAATACGATTAGCTTCGAGCCGCCCCCACTGCGCTGGTTGCAAACATCTGGGCCTCACTCATTTCTCTAAGTCAGCACATTCTGAAGTCCCCGCTGCCCGCATCCCGCTGGGTAGGGTCGAACGTCCGGCGGTAGCTTGCAACGCGTTCTCCCGCCAGTCTTGGTACCTGTCTTCTTCGCGATAATGACTTCCTTCCGCCTGGTACAGTCATTTCCCGGGCCACAATCGCCGCCCCCTCCCCCGCGACTCCCACGCAGACAGCGAACTGCTCCTCGCTAGCCGTGTCTGTCTCGATCTCTCTCACACGGGATCCATTCCCGGCTCCAGCACGGGTCCTCTTCATGTACCCCAGCCATTTATATGCCTCTGGCCCCCTTTCCACAGGGAACCATCATCATCCCATACACAGCCACTCACTACGTCTCCAGCTCCCTCGCTGACGTCCCATTTCGTCCCATTCCCTCTCCACAGACGTCCGCCCTGTGCGAGCATTAGCCACTCACATGGTCGCCGGTGCCGGCCAGGTGGAGCACGGTGGGTCGCAGATGGGTATTCCAGCGCACTGGCAGCACTGCCTGGAAGTAGGCCCGCTCTGACTCCACTGGCAGCAGGCCCGGGCAGTGCCGCACGAACGGCGACTCCAGTTCGCCCTCCAGCAGCGTGTAGTCGCGGTAGCGCTCTTCCTGCCAGGCCAACAGTATGTGGTCATGGCTGGCATGTGGGACTTGGCATAGCTATCAAGCCTGACAGCCTAGGCTCCAACATATAGGGATTGAGGGATGCCCCTAAGCTTTTCTGTGGCAAGCCTCTCTACACATGTAGCAAAGCCGATGTCTGATGGTGATGAGTATCCTGTTTCAAATGTGAAAAGGACTCTCCACTAATGTGCTGTTAACAAGATGGTCTTCATGTCACAGTTCTTACAACAAGCTCCAATAATATTACTAAGTAAAACAACACCCAGCTGAGCAAAAGGACAAACCATCAAAAGAGGTGAGGTGTTGCGCAGTTGCGAGTTAATGCAATGAGATGCCAGGTTGGGGATTAAAACAAGCATTGCATAATTTCATTCATCATTTAGCAACTGCACATTTATTCAGTCCACCTAAAGCATGGTCATTCTATGTACCCAGGACAGCCTTCTGCAATCCAGATGCACTGACCTTGGTTATTGTTACAGGATGATCCTTGTCAACAAGTTCCCTGCATCGCTGCCGATCACTCATGACTTTGCGGAATTCAAATAGACGTTTCAGACTGTCAGGTTTGCCCCATCCTTTGGTGAAGAACTTGGTGAGCAGAATAGACCGATATATCCGATCTGTCCTGCTACCTGACATCTTGAATCTGGAGATTTTATGGGCACATGAATAATGTTAGATTAGGAACTCATTAACATGCCAGTAATGCTGCCAACTGGCCACAGTCAATCATGTGAAAGCAAATGGGTGTCTTTAAAGAAAAATGCAATGACACAGTCACACATCACAGACTGATGCCTAATTATAGAGACAATGATGCATATTACTCTCAAATGCCTAGTAAAAGATCCATGCATGATGTACATGCATTATGTACTTTGATGACAGCAGACCTGCAGTTAAAGAAACATGCCAATGGCAAAAAAGGAACACCACAATGAGCAGCACCATAGAGAGCTAGAGAGCTAGAGCTAGAGGGCTAGATTCTCATGCACAATTAAGTCACATGGTCATTTAACTCATCAAAGACCATCTTAACTTATCCCCATAAGAAGATATTTTCATGTAAACATGCCTGGGCTTAAAGAAATAATAGGCATGTACCTTACATGACAGCCGCCAAGCTGTTAACAAAAAAATACCTCACAAACGTCTCATTTAATCAAGATCTACCAACAAATCAACTGTTAACTAAGACCAAACTCCGGACAACACCCGGCTATGTACACCCAAAACGCAAGACCATGGTCAGTATATATGTGCACTATCAGCAACAAAGGAACCAGGCGCGAGGAGGTATAAATCAACCATAGAAAGCTTCGCGATGCCCAGACACTGCCCGAGTGCTCGGAATGCGTGTGGTCTTAATGTAAACATGCCCGCCTCCACCGACAATCGTGCAGCAGAATACCGAGTACTGCCAAGTACGGACTCGACCGCTTGGTAGCTTGGTGCCCGGTGCGTCGTTGCTCTCAGCGGCAGATAAGTCTCAAAAGTCAGCTGTAATCGAGCGCGACGTAAAGTGAAACCTGTGCGCTCAGTTCGACCAATCCACAAAGAGTTAGGCCATCTTGCAGCCAATAGTGAGCGAAATTTTCTATGCATCAGCAGTTTCGGCAAGGTCAGCGTCGCCTCGAATATGGCAGAGTTTCAGGCATGGCATCTGCGCGTAGTTGATGGACGACGGGATTCCGTGACAATTTGAATCTCTTGGTATTGGTAAAGGTTGCGTTAGTTGTTAAGTGTCGCAGCTGATGCGCTTTTGCACGTTAGAATAATTGCTCGCCATTTTTGGAAGCGATTACAGTCAACATGCGACAAAACGTTGATTGATCAAGTGGTTGCTCATTTTAGGTATACCCTATGGTTGTTTGTATGTTCTTGTTGAATGTGTTTTTGTGAAAGAGAGATCACCTTCTCATCCTCATATTTTTGTTCTAGGTTAGGCATAGGACAAAGCTGTGACCATGGCTAAGCCTAATGACAAAAAGAGACCAGGAGGAAGTTCTGAAGGCATTAGCAAGGCTATCACTCCAACAAAGAAAAATAAACCCATTGCAAACAGCCCAAAATCAAAACCCAAGCATAATGGATCTGCAAGAAAGCACCTACCTGCAAATGCACAAGAGCCACCAGTGCCCAAGCCTGTTAGCAATGAGGACATATCATCCAACTGGAAATCATTCCTTCAGGTAAAGTTTGGGCTCCCTTGGCTTTTAAGGTGGTTATGAATGATTTGTGCATATCCAAGTCAAATATGAGTACATGGTCACAAATCTGTGACAGCATTGTCCAGTCTGCAAAAATGTCATGCTCTGCACTTGATAGCCACATTATGCTGGTGTGCTCAATGTTGTCCTGAATTGATGACAGGCTGATTTGTGCTGAATTTTGATGTTATTTGTGTTAAAAAATATAATGAGAGTATTTTTGCATGATTTTTGCCTTGCAACATTTTTTATGTTAAACATTGACTCTTGATGTGCAGAAATTGGTGTTGGACATGGACCAAACTCTGAGCTCTTGGTTTTATGTCAGGCGTGAGCTAAACTTGTAACTGCAATACTGCTGCTTCACAAGATCTCTATGGCATGAAGTATATTTTGTGCACTGTGGAGCATTGCTGTAGTGCCTGGATAGCAGCACAGTTTTTCACCATGCCACATGACAACCAGTATGGTCCTTTATGACACCTGAAGCTGAGATATTGTATATATTGTTGTAAATCTCCAAAATGAGATTATAAAGATTTGTAAATATTTCCCAGATTCCACTGGGCTATATTTGTTTCTTTATCATTATAAGAGGACTCATAATGACAAAAATTGTTTTGATATTTTAAAAGAAATTTTTCAGCCACCAGCTTATGCACACTGGGTTGTTCACTACCACTTGCCTGTATCTACCATGCAAACTATAATTGTTATGTCATTTTCATCTTAAATTTGGTTTGTTGTGCAAATTCCCAAAAGGTTTTCTATGTCCTGTGCTACTAGCGGCACTGATAATGTTTTATAGTACCTATCACACAAGGGCATTGGGGAGAAGTAATCTAGGTATGTTTGTTTAAATGATGTCCAGATGTTAGCATGTGAGTTGTGCTCATCTCAAATTGTGAGAAGTAGGTACATGCTCTGGATCACCCATGCTTCTAACTTAGAAACTAACTTCTAACCAAGAAATAGGCACATGCTTCTAATTGCAGAATGCCACAGAACTCAGAATTAATTCCCATACTTTGTGAACTATGGTCACTTCTGTAGTCCAATCTTAACATCTGCATGTAACATTTGTACTTCTTAAAATGTGTTCATTTCTTTTTTGCCATTCTGTGGTGTTGTTTGTCTTTTTAACAAGATATACCTTCCTGGTTACCATTTTCAGACATTTTATATGAGAGTAATGTCTTTGTCAACTAAGAGCCCAATATTGGTACACTTTGGCAAATCAGTCCAAGCTGTACTGTTCTAGGACTCAGGGTAGCAACATGGCTTGCCATAATTGGTGATGTATATATATATATATATATATATATATATATATATATATATAATATGCAAATGCACCTCCTTTTCATGGGACCATATGTCATGTTTCTCCTAGCAGGTACCAATGTTTTGACCAAGATGTATTTCTCCACAATGTCTAGACTAAATGACTAAGTCCTGAGTTTCAAGGCTATTTGCAGATTGGGTTGGGTGAGTATCTGAGCTTGTGGTCTGTTTTCAGATTCCTTATCTCATTCTGTATGGAATCTTTGGGTTATTCCTATCATTTTTGCAAGAGTTGCCCACTATTATTGCCTTGGTAAGTCCACACATGGCATAAGCAACACATTACCTTATCTTAAAACCATTAAACAATAGTTAGGGTTTATGCATACTGTTTCCAAATGCTTTGTCAGTAATGGTGAAACATGGATTCTTATTGTTTGCTCTGCTCATCACTCTGCTGTAGTGCATCTCATGACCATGCTGGGAAATGGGCAGTGGTGTACACATAATTCAACTAATTTTTCTTCACGCTACTAAGCCACAAAAAAGGAAGTTATTTGTCTGCCTGGCGCAAAGCACGTCGCAGTTCCACACCCTCTACATGCCGACTTCAGTGCAGTCGTTCATGTCCACCCGGCTGGATTTCACCTTACTCCAACCCATCCCCGTCCACAATCGCCGCGCCGTTCAGTGCGCAGTGGCCCCAGATCACGTGACCACCGACTGCCGGCCAGGTGGCAGCCGCGTCGCCGGCCGAGCCGGAGCGGCGGCGGGCGCGCGCGCGCGGCCTGGCGCGCCGCGGCTGCTCCTGCCCGCCGCCCGTCTGGTTCGACGGCGTCGACCCGGCCCTGCTGCACGACGACCGGCCGCCCTGCTCCTTCTGCCTGAAGCAACGCGAGCGGGAGCGCCCGGCCGAGCGGCCCAACGAGCAGGAGGCGCCGCCGGCCAAGCCCAAAGCCCGGCTGTGAGTGGAGGGGTGGACGGTGGGCCCCCGGGTCGGTTTGAAGTGTATGGTGTGTCGGGCCGTGTATATCTGGACAGCTGTTTAGGTTAAGGTTGGTCAGTACAGAGGCCTTCCGATCGGAGGACTCTAAGGCACCTTGATCTAGAGGGTAGTTACCACAAGGCTCGAATACATTTTCTTCTGGCTTTCGTGCCAAAGCCTCTGCTCCGGGAGTCGGCACGCGTCAGTCAGATCGTGCGCGCGCGTGTTCTCCACCTTTCAGTCACCGAGCATCGCTTCCTGGGCAGGCCTGTGTGAGCAGTGCCGGCAGCGAGCGCCGGCCGTCGTGACGTTAGGGCGACTGCCCGCAGGCCGTCCCACTACATCGCCATGGACTGCGAGATGGTGGGCGTCGGCCACAGCGGCCAGGAGAACATGCTGGCGCGCGTGTCCATCGTGAACTCGCTCTGCCAGCCCATCTACGACAAGTTCGTCAAGCCCATGGAGCGGGTGACCGACTACCGGACGTCCGTCTCCGGCGTGCGGCCCAAGGATCTCGTGAACGGTGAGCACCTCTCGCCCGGGGATGTCTTGGCGTGTTGGGAGCCTGCTGTAGGCACGGTGTGCATGACGTCTGAGGTCTGACCGTGCGATGAGAAGTCGCGTAATTTTCTGGAGCGGATGATTTTGTGGGCAGATCGCGACCACGTGCGTGTTCGGTATGGGTGTTAGCGATTATCGCTAAAATCTGCGCACATTTTATCGTCGGCGACGTAGTACTTAGCTCAGCTTATCGCGGAGAGAACGAGGCATGACCGACATGAGTTTCGAACCCACGGCCTTCTGCTGTCAGGACCGGCCGTAATCTCACGGCATGTGTCGCCCGACAGGCGAGTCGTTCGAGGTGGTGCAGAAGGAGGTGGCGGCGCTGCTGAAGGGTCGCGTGCTGGTCGGCCACGCGGTCTACAACGACTTGCGGGTTCTGCTGCTGAGCCACCCCAAGAGGCACACCCGCGACACGTCCAGGTCAGGGGTCGGCCCATCACTTCCGGCCTGGCGCGCTTTCGGTGTTAAGGCCTGGCTCGTCTTGGGGGGTTTACTTCTGCTTGTGGTGTAGTTGCTAGTTGGTTTGTATACGACGGGTTTGGTTACGTGGAGGATGTATCCTGTCCAATTATCAACCTCATCCAGCCCCATGACTGGAAGCCGAATTGTTGCAGTTCCCATGTCGCAGTACAGTTGGCTACTTTCTGTGTCATGTTTGTTCACTGGTAAGCATCTTCGGCAGCGCATATTTTAACTGTGACATGGTTTTAACGTCAAACGCTTGAAGCGTGCAAGCTACATGAATGGAAGGCGCCAAGGAGTTACCCAGCCGCGTTCGCAGTGTTAATCCGAATCAGCCAAGACAGATGTGTGAGCATGTCTAACATGTGTCGTGTCGTGACGTTGTTAGCGTGTTAACGTAGTACGCTATCACCGTGTCGTGTCACGCAACATTCTGCAGCAATGTGTTAGACTCCTGACGTGCGATGCAAGCGTGGCATTATTTCAGTTACAAGCCTTTCCGGCGCATGTTCAATGGAAGCATACCAAGCCTGAAGAACCTAGCTCACAAGATTCTGGCGGTCGACATTCAGAAGGGCGAGCACGACTCGGTTAGTGCGGACACCGACTCAGACTGCGGGGATGTGTATTTATGGGCGGGAATCAGGTGCTGAGCACAGACACAAGCAAGGGTACATTCTCTACGTTGAGTGTAGATATGTTTTTGGGTTGGTTTGGTTTGAAACAGAGGCGTTTTGGTCAGTAATGACCATTGCAGGCCTTAGTGGTAAATGTGGAGCGATAATCGTGGGGACAGCTACAAGCACTTGTGAATCCATCACCCACGACTAAGCCGAGGGTATGTGATCGGTGCTCGGACGGGGCCTCCACCAAGCGGCACTCAACCCTACTCACGGCTGGTGTATGCAGCTTGCCCCGGATGAGCGTGGCATCGCGAAAAAGGAAACGAGGACCAGCCTGAAGAAATCGTCACCTTATGGTGTTAGCGTGCTTGTCGCATGACATCCTGCTCCGGATTGTAGCATTGTGCAACTTGTTCGAATAGTTGGTCTGTATCTGTGCTGTGGACTTGCTGACTGCGCTGCTCAGCTGGGTGTGACGTCACCCCGGGCATTGGTCACGGCGATTGGTCCGTGTGGGGCGGTCGTATACAGCGGCCCCGCCGATTGGCTGCGCGTGATGTGACTGGGCATTGGCATCTACCAATCATATGTGAGTGTCAGGCAGTCCGCACGGTGGGTGAATGGCTGTGACATCACGATAAAATATCCGTGTACTCTGACTGGCTGACGGGCGTCACCGCCATCAGCGGCCGGCAGCGATCGGCCGCTGACGCCACGCCCCGCCCCCGGCTGCCGACAGGTGCAGGACGCCCGAGCCACCATGCAGGTGTACCAGACGCACCGGCGCGAGTGGGAGGCGGCCCTGGCCGAGCGACACCGGCAGCGTTCGGGTCGGCCGGCCTGACCTGGCGCCGAGGCAGGGCAGGCCAGGGTGCCGCTCGCGGGCCTCTCCAGTGTGGCGAGTTCCGCTGGGCAGGAGAGGCCCAGGCAGCAGCGGCAGAGGTCGGGCGGGGCGGTGGACGTCCGGGTCTTCCAGGCCGTATGTCCACGCGCCCCCGGACGATGTCAGCTCGTGGTCGGGCGGCCGACGCCTGACACAGGGAAGACCATGCGACGGTCTGTATTGGGGTAGTGGTCGTGTACATGCATATGACCACAAGCGTATTGGTGTTCCGTCCTGACGTCGACCCCGTGTGTCGCCCCCCCCCCCCCCCCCCCCCATTTGCTATGAACTGTCACGGTGCCAATTATGGATGTGATGCGGCGCACGAGCGCACCGTTTTGGTGATGTTGTTTGTTTCAGGTAAATGGTGAGAACAGGCGAACGTTTGATTCGTGCTGGGGTGCCCTTTTGCGTGCTGTGAAGCAGATGGAAGTCGCGGTGCCTCAGTGGGCACTGCGGCAATAGCAGCACTGTGATTGGGCTGCAAGTCAGTGCCTTGGGGAAAGGCGATTTACAGTACCAGCCGGCCCTGGCGCGGCAGGTTAGCTGTGCTGCTGTTGTAATAGGAACTGGCACGGAATAAAGAACTGGAACTAAAGCCGGGGCCTCATCGCGTGGTCGGGGACTATCTGACTATCTGAGAGCTCTTACCAAGAATCGAAGTATTTAGAGTTCATGTTGCTGGTCACTGTGTGGTGGTGGCCAGTGCTACGACTGTCCTAGCAATTACCTCTCGGCTGACATTTCGATGCATATTATCTTTTACCCTATGGCTATGTTTTTATCTAGGATGGGAGGTGTCTAGTTCGGATGTGGGCCATTCAGTGTGGGGTGGAACTGGTCAGACATTACATAGATTTAAACAGCAAAATTTTTGCTGTCAATTCTACACTCTTACGCAGTTTGCGCCTGGCACTAGGCCGGATGTTGGTGTGGTGTTTGTCAAACTGCTCTGCGCGACTGAGCGTCGTAGGTATCTGGCGCGGGCGGTAACTACCCGACAGGTTGAAGTGTTACGAATAGTTTCGGATGTGTGGGCCTGTGACAAACGTATTTACGCCGCCTCCCCATGCACCAATCTACACATCCGAGCTTGCAGCTATCCCCGAAGCCCTCTGTTTTATGGAAGCGGACAGCACTAACGTAACTTTTGATACCCTTTAACTCACTGAGCAGCTCCTGGCTGTAGTTTAGCCTTGTGGTTCGTGTCTGATAAACCCACTTACTCAAGATAATCCTTGGCGTCTCATCTTACTGGATGGGGTGGGAAAACCTGTGGTCTTGTGTTGGATCTCTGGTTACGCGCGGATCTCTGGAAATGATTTCGTCGCCGCGGCAGCCAAGTCTGCTACGCAAGGAACACGTATACCGACTACGCCACTACCTGCAAAGGACGTACCCATCCCCCTCGTCCTCTACGCAGGAGAGATGGCAGCACCACCGGGATTCGCTCGGCAACAGGTTGAAAGTCATCAAACCTCGGATCTGGCTGTGGCAGTCATGTTTCCGCAAAGGCGGAAGAGAGGAGGTTGCTCTTTACCGCCTACGCATGGGACCCACTTGTGTTACACACCGTCACCTGCCTCTTGCTGTTGATAGGGCCTACTGCCCCTGGTGCCGTGACCCGCTCGCTGTGCGCCACGCGTTGATCGCCTGTCGCGTAGGTAACGAATATTAAGCTGCCAGAATTGGAAGGCTCTTTCATTTTCGTCCTGCCGTAGAATGTATTGTCACGTTCTCGCCATTCCACCATGCTTCACTCAAAGTCATTTACGTTGAAGGTGTTTACGTTGAAACAACAGCTTTGAATTGCGCCACTGCTGAATAGTACGTTAGCTTTGTGCGCTGCGTAATCACTTATTCCTGTACGACGAGCATCGACACATCGATCGACGCGCCCTAAAGCCTCAAATTATCATCATCGAATGAAACTAGTGAAGATGCGTGAAACGCCTTCATGTTTATGTGCTCCTGCTTGCGTGCGTGGAGCATATAATGAAGCAAGCGAGTGCGCGAATGTGTGTGTGCGCATGTGTGCGTGCGTGCGTGCGTGCGACGAAATCACCAAGCATGTCTAAGCCCATACTGCCACTTCTCCGGCATGTTATAGTTCACAAACTGCATTACAAGATCAGCATTTCACATGCCCACAAGGCCTGCAAGCCAGCGTTCCCAGGAAACCAGGGCAGGCTAATTATCTTCCAACAAGTCCTACGACACGTTGTCTAGTTGTGAAAGTCATCCCAGCTGGTGACCCATCTCTACTGAAACAATCTGATGTCCTATACTGTTGCAAGTGCTCTCTCGGAGACTGCGCGCTCCACATTTCACACCTCAGAGCATTGAATTGACGACCACCTCACTCAGTAGACGCGTCACAATGTACCTTCAGAACGGCGCTCCAAAAATATGTGCGGAATGCCACCTAGCCCAGCGACTCATCAGACAACACATGTTAGATAGCACCACCATCGTAGGCAGATGCCACGACGTAAGGCGGCTTTATGTGCTCGAGGCCGTATGCATACGCGGCATGGACCCTTATATCAACAGACAGGCAAACGCACGGGAAAACCCAGCCCTTTACGGAGAGCCCACGGATGAGACTTGGTATGCCACCATAGCATTAGCGGAGAACAAGTGCAATTAGCGGGAGTCGATTTAGCGATCTGAAATTAGCTTCCATCAGTGTGCTGAAATCAGACCTAGCACGCATCGTGTGTTCATGAATACTCATGATATAGGACAATGGATAACTAATGTAGATAAATCACAGGTCATGGCAGGTGTTACCTCACGTTATCGTGTGTGGTAATTGCTTAAATTGCATGTCTTTGTCTTGAGATGGCCAAAAGTCTAACGAAGCATCGGCGAAATATAAAAGATGAGACAGGGATGTGGGTCACTTGGACTTTACGGCAATTAGTTTTGCTTCTCTCCTTAACAAGCACAGCCCAGAAAGCAAGCACTCAATACGCAATGTTTACAGTACATCTCGCAAGAAAACAAAGGGCAAAGCTCCTGTAATTTTCTATGCATACATACATTTATATATATATATATATATATATACATATATATATGTATATATATATATAATATACATATAAATTATATATATATATACATATTATATATACACTTCGGAATCGAGTCAATCGCGACCCATACAGCACATCGCAACGCTTACCACGCGCTCGAGTGAGAGTCAAATTGACCTCCGGAATTTTTTAATATTAATTCATTCATTATTATTATTTGAATATTTATAAATTAATTCATTAAATATTACATATTAATTCATACTATACAAATTAATTCATTGCGGAAAATTCCGGAATGGTTTCCGAACGATGCAGCGTAGCCGCGCCAAAAATTTCACAGCTGTGGGCAATGAAATAGTCAATCGGCTGGCATCAATGACTTAAGTGTACCTTGTAAAGTCGCTGACCTATGGCAGGTCAAAGTCAGGCCATGGTTTTAGGGAAGTCAGCTTCTAGGAAATCGTTCAATCTGATCCGACAACGGCGTGTTGGACAAAGCCATACATTTCTGAGATGCTTTCTTAGGAAACACATGGAATGAGCAAATCACATTGATCTAGGTTCAGGTATGAAGTCGGACCAAAGTAAAAAACAACCTGTGCTATTACTGCAGGACTTGCTGCATGGGGTAGTTTCCGGTACTCATTTCAAATTTATTGATAACGGGAGCCGCAGAGTATTCCTTCCATGAAGTTCTTAAAGGTCGGAATAGGTCGCTGGCATAAAATGACTCAGGTCAACATTTGGTTTTTAGGAACAAACTGCCTAGCGTGATATTTGTCGCCTATTCAAATGCAAAGCTCAAACCAGTCTTCTATGACTTTAGTCACCATGACCTTCAGAGGATGAAACAAGGTCACTGACCTAGAATGAGCAGGCGACGTTTTGCTTGGAACAGTGATCTAGGTTCTAGGGGCCCTTTGAAGATCAACTTGGAATTTGACCTTGTTTGACTTTATTTGAACCGAAGGTCACGACCTAGAACCCTCAAGCTATGACTTAAGTGAGATCACGTATAGGTCAACACACCCTGTGGATTTGGTGTCTCTAGCTCTCTTAGATCCTGATATCTCAGGGGGGGGGGGGGGCAGGGGAGGCCAGACTGACCCCTACCCTAGCGAAGGGTATCCAACCGGCCACTCGGGCGCGTGTTCATTAAACAAGATAACGCACACGAGTGCAAAATTTCTGATCCGAAGCCCGCTATTGCATCCCGTATGACACATTGTCCCAAGCCGACTGCTCTTTCTCAGTCTTTTTATTTCAAAATTCGATACACTCGGTACTGGTCTCCCGGTTTTGTTTTCAGAAGTTCATCGCTGCGCGCTCTAGAAATGAAAATACACTCCTTTTTCTCGAATCTGTCTCATAATCCAAATTCCTCCCTGCTCACGCGCGATGCAATGGCCTGTGCCCAGAACGTGCTTCGCTAAGCTCAAATGGTTTATATACGAGTTTCTCGTTGTTCTGTGGTGATCACCCCCTTTGGTCTCTAAGCTTCCACATGCCTCCTCCCATAGACGTTTCCGTATCCGCATGTGTATTGGTAAATTATTCCTGTCTTTTGGTCCGCTTTTAACTTGTCTATAAGAGAAAGCCACGATTGGCCGATTGTTTTCTGCTGCGTTTTGTGTTCTTGGGTGGTAAGGTTTTTGACGAACTTTTCCAACGAAACGTTTTGGGTAGATTAAATTTCAAAGTTTTGTGAGTGTATCTATCCTCTCTCGTATTTTTGTCGGGACTTGATGAAATTATTTGTCCTCTTTGTGTGAGCGATCTAATCACTGTTGCTTTGTGTTGATCGCTATGATGTGACATGAAATTCAAACACTTGTCCATGTGCATGGCGTTGGGGGAGGGGAAATTTCAGGTTATGAGACAAACTGGATGACAAGAAAGACTAAGAAGGGCATTTCCATTTTTAGAGCGAGCATAGAAAAACTTCTGAATGCAAAACCTGGGGTACCAATGGCGAGTGTATACCGAGTTATGAAATGAAAGACTGAAAAAGAGCAGTCAGCTTGGCGCAAGGTGTAAAGGGGGTGCAATAGAGGGCTTCGGGCCGGGAAATCTGTGCACGTGTGCGTTATCTTGTTTTAGTGATACGATATGCCGTATGCATCGCAATTCACACGATTTCAAAATGTGGAAAAACTATGTACATGTTTAAGATGCATGCGCGTTGCCAATTAGTTATCATTTGACATAGCAACATTCAGAAGAA